TTGTCTGGGCCTTTTGTACTGTTAGTTACAGCAGTGCAATCTAAACTTCCCATCAGTTGCTGCTTTTCTTGAGTCGATTTCTCAAGATGATTTCCAGTAGGAACAGGGTCACACAGTAAACCAATGTCCAGTAGAGCTTCTGGAGGGGGGCTAAACTTTTATTCCACTCTGAAAAATCTTAGGAGGAAACAACTCGTTTTGTCTGTACTGTACTGCTACACCTGTACAAGGCTCCATAGCCAAAACGTGCTGTGTCTTCTTTTTTCTTTTTAAGTTTTACATTGCATTGTGGAACTAATCCCCTTTTCTGCATGATCTCTGGAAAGAGAGCAAAGCACAGCAGCACCAGTAAAGTGGTTGGGCAGGAGACTAGAGTGACCCATCTCCCCGTGTCCACCTGTGTCTGTCCAGGGCTGAGCTGGCAGAGGCTCAGAGGGAGGCGGCCGCCCAGAGAGACACCATCGCAGGGCTCAGCCGGGATCTGGCAGGAGCTCATGCCAAGATGTCAGACATGGCAGGTTGGGAACCAGTTCCTATTGTGTTTGCTGTTCTCGGATGTCTCGCGCCAGGTGTCTCCGGTTTGAGCTTTGCACAGAGAGTTTACCCAATAAAGCATTCTTTAATAAATGATAGGGATCACAAAATGTATTTTTTGTTACTTCTAAATATTTTTTTTTCATTGTAGGACACAAAATATTTACTCTTTCGTCTTTAGCTTAGGTCCCACGTGTCTGCTCTTCAGTTTCTGAAGTAATAACATTTACCTATTTTAGAAAGCAACATTTTTCTTCACTCACTGTGACTTGACTCTAGGACTGAAAAAAATCAACAATGTGTGCAGGTCACAGTGAGACAGTGATGTATTAGCCCACAACGTACTGTATCAGCAGCTGTGTCCCTGTTCTTGACACCTTTCCCTGTGCCTGTGTCAGGGGAACTGAGCGAGCAGCAGAAGCTGGAGCTGGAGCAGCACAGAGCCCTGGTGGCAGAGCAGAGGTCTGAACTGAGCGTGCTCAGGCAGCGCCTGGCCCAGATGTCACAGCTGGTGGAGCAGAAAGGGCAGGACCTTCTCCAAGCGGAGGAGGAGCTCAGGTAGGCCCCACCAGGAGCAGGGGAATCACATGGCGTGTTGTTATCGTAAAGTCACATTTTAGAAAGTTCAGAAGAATACTGGACAGCTGTCGTAATCCATGTCACTAGCTTTAGTGTTTAACTGGATTATGGCTGGTCTGCCAGGCATGGAGATGCCAGGACATCAGTCACACTGGAAACCAGGACTGCACTCAATATTTCAGAACACACCCTTCCACGTATTGCTTGGAACATCTAAAAGAAGATCCTGTCAAGTTTTACATCTTGCTGATACAAGACAGGGACTGGACACAAACCACAAGACATCTGGGCTCAAACTCCTGAGGAGGCCATAGGGAGTAGTATGCCCACATCGCAGCCCTAGGCCCTGTGGAGATCTTGGGTTGTAGTCCCACATCGGGCATCAAGAACGCTGTCATGACCAGAGGTCAGAAATTCTAGAAAGGTGCAGGATCTTGCTGAAGCCATAGATCCTGAGGAACAGAGACTCTCAAGGAGCCCATCATTCACAGATTCCAGAACACAAGTAAAGAGAAATGCAAAAAAGACAACCTAGCACATGGACTAGAGGTTCAAAGCCAGCTTTCAAAAGAAAGAGCTGCAGTGGGTCAAGCAAGATTCATGTCAGTCCAGCTCCTTAGGAGAAAAAGAGCAGGGCTGTTCTAGAAAGGGCCATTCTAGATGACTTTGGCTTCACAGATATCTGCAAAAACCCCAATTTACATTCTCCAAAATGTAAAAAAACAATACACACTTAAAACACAGAAAAGCAGGCTGTCCATTGATTTTGTGCTTGTTGGCAGGCTTTGTAAGGCAGACCTGGAGATACAGGTGAACGTCCTGAGAGAGAGAGAACTACAGAGTGAGACCCCTCAGGAGGACAAAAGAGCCAGCAGCCCTGACCCTCAGCACACAGCCACAGGAGACACACAGGTAACCCCAACACAGCCACAGGAGTCACACAGGTAACCCCAACACAACCCCAACACAGCACACAGGTAACCCCAACACAGCCATAGGCAGCACACAGGTAACCCCAAGACTGCACACAGGTAACCCCAACATAGCCACAAACGGCACACAGGAAACCCCAACACAGCCACAGGCGGCACACAGGAAACCCCAACACAACCCCAACACAGCACACAGGAAACCCCAACACAGCGCAGGCAGAACACAGGTAACCTCGACAGCACTGTGCCTGCCCTCTCCACAAAACCTGGGGCAAGCACCAACCTTCCCAGCAAGAGTAAGCCTTCCTCTCCAAACCTGGGGATTCTGTTATGAATGTATAATACTTTTTATTTGTTACCTTAATAATTTCAAGGGGAACTTCCTTAAAGGGTCTTAGTTCTAACACTGTCACAGCTCTAGCCTGTTATCTGTTGTGGTTCCAGATTCTCAGGCTGTTCTGACGTTCAACAATTCAAACATTCAACATGGTGAAAGCTTTTTATAAACATGACAAATGAAATGCAGTGGGGTCAGTAAGAAGATAACTACTTAGCACCTCTCCCTCTGCACAGAATTAATTCAATTCAATTTCGAGTTTAATGTGTTCTGTCACACCTCTTTGATGTGTGTACCATCTTTCCTGGCCTTTGTGATGTTTACCATCTGGAATTCAGGAGGGTGATCATTTCTGTAGAGAAAGGAGGAGATAATTTCAGCACATTCCTGAGTGATTGCTCAATGTAGAAAAAATAATGAGGATGCATACTGCACTGTAGCAATTTGCCCAGAAGGCTTGAATTACTAAGCGCTGGCCTCATCAATCATACAGTGGGCTCTTCAGTCACGATAGGAATTGATGTAAATGAAGGATCTGTCTTCATTATGCAGGAACCTCCATGTAAATGCATTCCACAGGGTAGCAGGCGGGCTGGAAAAGCAGAAGGCTGGAGATGTTGCTGCTCCAGAGGCTCAGCCTTTTCAGGAATTCTGACATAGAGAAGTGCTTTTTGCACTAACGTTCTTAAGACCCAGGAGATCAATGCCCCTGTCTTCAGTGCACTTCAAACACTCTCTCCCACCTCTCCAGACACATTAATTCTCGTGTGCTGTGCTATATATGTAAGAAGATTCAATAAAAGCAGAGGTGCATTCTTCACTATAGACCAAGAAAACCTTTCAGGACGCTCGTTGTACTAAGTGCATCCTCGGCATAGTGCTTTCTTTGTACTTCCCATAAATCAAAAAGCAACTAAGGGACCTATTGTTTGCCCAGCAGCTCTGTTCGATTTGCTCTCCCATAGTGTAGGAAGTATAAATGCATTTTTCTGCTGAGACGAGTACAGTTCAGCTCCCACCAGTGTCCGATCACAGCTGCTCACGGGCTACTCTCCAGACAGTGGAGAAGTCCACTTACTGTACAGGCCAGATCATGGGGGAGCCGGAATCTATCCCAGCAAGCAGCGGTTGGATTGGGATGCATCCTGGATGGGACGCCAGTCCATTGCAGAACTCACACGAATACAGACACAAACAGACACACACTCGTCCCAGAATTGTCCCAGATTCCCACTGAATCTACCAGAATGTCTTTGGACTGTGGGAGGAAACCACAGTACCTGGATGAAACCCATGTGAGCCCAGGGAGAACATACAAACTCCACACAGACAGCACCCCAGGTGTTGAACCAAAACCAGGGCCCCAGCACTGTGAGGCAGCAATGCTGACTTCTGCTGCCCTGCTGGCAGTATTAATAATGCAAAACTTTTTACATGTGACACATGTAAGTACAGTAGTTCACACATCCCACCCAAACCTTTTCCAGTCTGTAATACAAATTGGGAATAATCCCTCCCAGCAACCGTCTGATTATTCAATTCAAAAAGCTTTAAAAGTAAATTTGATGTATTCTGTGTGTTTTTTATTTGGTTAGAGTTATTCAAAACCTATTCTACATGTTTACAGCATAAACATGCTGTAAACATGAGCATGCTGTAAACATAAACATGAGAGAAACAGTGTGTCTCTCAGATCTCAGTATCTAAGGGCTTGTTACTTTATAGACCTGAGAGAAGAAATTCATGAGTGTAAGGATCATTGTATTTGTACCTTGTTTTTTCACGATGCACTTCGTTGGCAGCATTGGGGAAAAAATTATATTCTCTGTCAAAGACACAGTGATAATCTAGTGTGACAGTAGAACACACCTCCCACTGCACTCCCCACTCAGTGGCGTGTGGGAATGAGCAGCTTCCACAGCTGACGCTGATCCGGGCTGCGCTTTAAGATCCCCACGCGCCCGCAGACGGCGTTCAGGTTAGAACCGAATGTGTTCCCAAGCCGGCGACACAAACAAGTGCTCCAATCTAAAAGAGGATCTGTTCTCCTCGTTCAAGAAAGGAATCTCTCCTTCACCGGAGAACAGAAACCTCCGCAGACGACTACACACTGGCACACCGCAAAGAAATAAGACGCACTCTGCCGGAACTCCGGCAGCTCCCTATCAGATCCGACACTATCACACTAGGAATTTCTGGTGATCTGGTTCCCAAATTGCGTTATTCTTATTACTTCCTGAAATATCCCAAATAATGAGCAATTCGACAAGCTGGGTAAGCACCACTGAATTGCAGTATATAAACATTTTCAGTCAAAATAAAAAAGGTTTCTTGCCTTTTTATTATTTTGTTACCCAGACATAATTGTCCTCCCTCACGCTTTCAAGAATCTTTTATAATTCATTTTTGTATTGCTTATTACAAAAAAGGCAACGTATGTCTTGAAATAGGACATACATTCTTATGACTGTGTTTAAAACTCAGTGTAGGATAAAGCACAAAGCTGAATGAGATTTGTGCAAATCCCAGAAGATGAAAGGGCATCACTGGTGAGCCATGAATCGTTATCTTAGATAAATACATTGGACGTAAGAAGAAATTAATAAGAAGCAAGGATTTCCTGTCCATCTGTTAGGAACGTGAGAAAACAGCCTTTGCAGGTGATATGAAGGTCCAACTGATTGGAAGAGAAGTTATCAGAGTTGTGTTTACCAGACCTACGTGCAGGAAGATGGAAAAGCACATTTGTCAGGGCCCCCAGAAATGTCTTATTTTTTTCTGTAGCAGAGGGAAGTCATAGGTATGGAATAAAGTGTAATATGATATTCTAATATGGCAGGACATACAGACAATTCAAGCAGCAGGGGAGCTCCCAGGTAAGAGACAGGTAAGATTTCTCTTATTCTTGTTAAAGTGATTTATATGATATTTTACGGGACAATATGATTGAATTTCAATAATATTATAATTCCACTGTTTCTGTGAGGATGGTCTCTTCACTCTCCTCTTTCCTTCTTCCTTAAGGACCAGTCAGCAGCTGCTGAACTGGCTGACCTAGGGGCAAAGTGCAAAGGTCACCGGCACGAGGAGGTCATCCAGCGTCAAAGGGAAGCCTTAGCAGAACTGAGAGCCAGGATCAAGGCCCTGGAGCAAACAAGGCCGCAGAGTAAGGACCCACACCCGTGGTTGAGAGGAGTCAGTGGGCTTGCTGCTGGTAGCTTTCACCACACTGGTTGTGAGGTTGTGGGTCACACCTAGCACGGCTGGTTCACATCTACTAGGTCCTGGGTTTGAGTCTAGCCTGCAGAACCTTCTGTGTGGAGTTTGCATGTAGCCACAGTCTAGCAGGTTTTACAGACCGGCCTCAATCAATTAATTTCTAAAGACACGGATCTGTGTCATTTGCTTAGCTGATTTATTTAGCTTAGTAATCTGAAAACCACTTGGAGTGAAAACATGAACACTCAGCGGCCTGTGGTTGGGTAATCTCTGGTTTGTACCAAAATCATCCTGGAAAACAAAATCTGTTATCTTGCTTTGGGCTTCATTTATGGCGAAACATCTATTTAAAACTCAAATTATCCTGTGAAAACAGAAACGAGGTTGATTCTGCTTAGAAGCAGACGGGATTGGGCACATGGGTGAGAGAGGCAGAGCGGGGCTGCGCAGACTGTCATACAGCTTCTCACTCTGCAGGGTCCTCTCCGGAGCGGGCCGTCCAGCAGGTGGCGCTGATGAGGAGGGAGCTGTCTGAGCTGAGGGCTCAGCAGGCCGTGGCAGACAGCCTGGGCCCCCTCAGAGCTGCCAGGGAGCTCTCGCAGACGAGCTCGGTACGTGGATGACACCGCTTTCTCCAGCCTCCTCCCTTCTGTGGGAGCCCTTCCCAGCTGTCATTCCTCTCCTTCTGGGTGTATGGAGGCCATTGTAGCAGATCACTTCCCCCTGTGCAGAGGTTAATAAAAGCTTCATCTCCCTGTACCAGCCAGTAATCGAAGGAGGAAGAATGTTGCTTTTTCTTTACCGCCTAACCATGTCATATGAGTATTAAAAGGTTCCCTGGCGTCCTGGCCAAATTTCCCATTGGCCCTTACCAATCATGGCCTCCTAATAATCCCCCTCTATGAATTGGCTTCATTACTCTGTTCTCCTCCCCACTGAGAGCTGGTGTGTGGTGAGTGCTCTGGCGCACTATGGCTGCCGTCACATCATCCAGGTGGGGCTGCACATTGGTGGTGGTGATGGGGATCCCCATTACCTGTAAAGCGCTTTGAGTGGAGTGTCCAGAAAAGCGCTATATAAGTGTAAGCAATTATTATTATTATTAATTATTATCCCATGCTCCAAAAAAGCATTGAATGCAAGTTGTTAACATTATTTTATTGTTTTTTGAAGGAGGTATTTGCGTTATGGTCAGTTTGATTTTGTCTGTGAATGTGTGCTTTTTCTGTGTCTGATGTGTTGTTATTCTTTATTGTTGATGAATTGTATGCTGTGTATTTTAATTTATTGTATTTAGAATGAGTGAAATGTAAGAAAAATGTCCACAATAAGTCTTCCAGGTAGGACTGAAGTGATAAGTCTAGCCCTGTCTCAAAACCCTTATATCATGGGTGCTCAGCTGACAGCTTGTAGGCCCCTTGAAGATGGAATCCTAAAAGAATTAAAAGGAAAAACAGCTAAAGCAAAGATCCGTCAGCTTAAAAAGTCCAAATATTTTCCACATCTACTGTAATTAATCAAAAGTGGGTTTGGATAGGTATAGGCGATGTCTTTTAAGGCCTAGTTGCAGGACCACGTCCTTCAGTATGTGATCATCAGAGTGAAGCCCAACCGCAAGTGTTGTAGAGTGACTCATCTGTAAATTAGAGCTAAGATCTGGGTGACGCCAGGGGTTCCCCATTCTAACCACAGGCTCAGTTCAGAACCTCAGAAGACGTTTTCTTGTTGTTACCAGTATTGCATTTTAAAAGCTATTATAGAACTCTTTCAAGGAGAACTTCAAAAGGAGGTAACTTACTTCAGCTAACTTGAATGAGAAACAGAAACATGAGTTCCCCATGTCTGTTGGTCTGCAGGCTGAGCTCCCTCTCACTGACCAGGCGTTTGAGGAGACTCTGGACAGGACAGCCAGGCTGGACCTGTCCGACGCCCTGGACCTGAGTGAGAGAACGGTGAGGCATACAGACACGGCGCTGGGGGAACTGAGGCTGCACCCACCGATTCTTTATCAGCGTGCGTCTGGAGGAAGACCTCCGTTTAAAGGGAAAAGTTGCTGTCACCAATTAGAAGAAGACATTAATGACTAAAAGGAAATTCCGCAGATAAGGCCTGAGGGTTAGAAATCTTTGCCGTTCCAGATTCCGGATGGTTTTTCTGTAGACAGATGTTCAAGTAGGTGGCTGCACCAGCACGTGTAGGCCTGCAAAGGGACAGGTAAAGATTTATTCTACACTGAAAGGACAAGAAAAGAGACTCAACTTTTTGGCTTTGAAAGGTAAGGCTCCACAGCTGAAAAGTTGTGTCTCTTTTCTTTTCCTTTCAGCGTGGAATAAACCTTTACCTGGCCCTTTGTTGCTGGCAGATTTGTACTGGTGCATGTTAAAGCCACAGTGATTCTGTGTGGTTTTGAGGTGAATTTTGCGGTTTTAGAAAAGGGGCAGCTGTACATCAGCTGGATTATGCTGCGATGGGGAAAAACCTTAATGTGAAAAAACTGAATAACATACGATTCCGAGACTCTTTTTAAAATGAAAGGTTCTGTTAGTCTTGCGGATTTTGAGCCACAGACTGTCTGAGAGCTCCTGCGACTGCAGCTGTGGCTGACTGACTGAAAGGCGGCGCCGTGACTGTGGGGCTGCTTGTCTCCCAGTACCGGGACCTGGTCAAGGCCCTGTCCGGGGCCCTGGAGCTGGGGGAGCTGTCCGGCTGCGCGTCCCTGAAACACCTGCCCCCCGACGAGAGGGACCGGCTGGGGTCCCGGAGGCAGCAGGACCTGGAGCTGCTGCTCACCCGCCTGAGGGTCCTGCACGGCCAGGCTCAGCGCAAGGAGGAGCTGCTGTCGGAGTACCAGGCCGACCTGCGGCGGCTACGGTAGGCAGCGCGCCTCCGGCCCGAGCCCCTGCCCCTCCCCGCCAATCGAACCTCCATCTCAAACCAGCCAAAATCCATGATGCATCAGTTACATATTACAGAGCATGGGAGCTGTTGCTACAGTGTTTTATCTGAGAATACGTCCTGGGAAAGGAAAATTCATAAAATCTCCAATCCCCTCCCACATCTTCCCTCACTCAAAAAAAAAAAAGTCGAATTCCGCCAAACGGTTTCTAGGAAGCAAACAAAAAATGCGGAAAGCCAGTCCTATCTGGCATCATCTGAGTGGCCACTTAGCGACAGATTAAGGTCTAGGGTGTAGAAGGGAGGCTCAGACTCTCAAAATAGATCAGGAATGGTTGCCAAGCTTTAAAAAAAACGCACTGGTGGACCCGCCAGTTTTCTCCAAATAAAAAGAAAACTGCATCAAATCTCTGATCCAAGCTTCCATCTTTTAGGTCCAGTTTTTAAACTGCGGATAGAGATTTCTTTGAATAAGGGGCTCTAATCTGAGGCATGAGCATCTATTTTATGAGATTAATAGCAATTAGCAAGGGAACAGCCAGCAAAAGATGTGAGCATTTCCTTTAGTTTTAGTTTTCAGGCATTTTATATGAAGGAAACAATAAAAACAAACGTATTATTAATTGGTTCTTATTAGTAAAATATTCTATAAAAATGCATTAACATCCTAATTTTTATTAGTTAAAATAATTTAAAAGAAACCATTAAGTTAAGCAAAACATTTCTGTCATCCATCCTAGAGTACTCATGAGAAGGTGTCCTGGGTTTCTGCCGGTTACTTTGCAGTGCAGTAAGAGCTCAGCAGTGTGCAGATAATGAACAGAGGGTTTGTGTTTGATACAACTACTGTGTCTGTAGTATGGTCTAATTCCGAGAATATAATGGGATTAAAGGTACTTAATACTTTGGCATTGTCGTTGTCATCTGGCTGAGGAAATGATCTTTGGCCAGTGCTGTCACAACCCCCCTCACTTACGAGGAATGAACCAGGGAGGCAGCTGCAAGTGTGAAGTTGTGGTGGAGGGAGGGGGGATAAATAATGATGTTTGCAGAGTTGTGGGCAGCGAGTGAATATCTGAGAGCAAAAGTGTGAGAATACACTCTGGCCTCCTCCCGAAGTATTGAGCAGCACCATCTGCTGGAAAGAAAAGTAAGCTTGGTGATTGGTTATAAAGGCCGAACTTGCACTGGTGCTTGTTTCACCCCGTGTCTGGCGTCTCACACAGGGAGAGCCAGGCGGTGGGGCAGCAGCTACAGGCGGAGCTGGACAGGCTGAGGCAGGAGCTGCAGAGCCAGACTCAGGAAAACTCCCTGCTCCGCGAGGCCCTGGAGCGAGCTCAGCAGCGGCTGGAGCAGGAGAAGAACCTGAACAGGGTCATCAAGGAGCGCAAGGTGACTGCCTTTACTGTCCCGGGGTGTTACTTCTGACAGTCACTTCACATGGCCGCTGTCTTGCCTGTTTGAAGTGGGGTGGACTGTGAAAATAGAGGAGAAGGATTGGATCGACTCTTTCAGTAATTACTCCTGATTTAAGTGCAACAAATATAGTAATTATCCTTTTTATAATTCTATTAACCATACAGCATTTTGTGTACACCAGCTCCTATTCCTTCATGGAGGTTTAGTACTACAAGTATTAAAAATAAATCAATAATAACAATATATGAATACTATTCATACAAATATTGTCTTGATTCTGATTCCTGTGACTTGCCTAGTTGAGGCTGGATAGATGTCCCAGCTTGACTGCCAAACAACCCCCACCCCCCCAGTATTGTGAGGAATGAGCCAGGGAGCTGCTGTAAGGGTGCTGATGGGTAGGTAGGGAGGATGTGCCTGAGATTCGTGAAGACAGATATATAAAAGCATGGAGGAAGACCTTCCAGCATAATCCTCACAACACTGGATTTTCATGCATAGTACAGACTTTGCCATTTGCATTATCTGATGCATTGAAGTTCCTAATCACTAGAAAGTCCTTTGGAGGAGAGGCTTGCAGTACATGAGCTATTTCATACCCCTGGGGTTTTGCTAGAGATGCAGGCAACTCTTTTGTCTGGAGGTCAGAAGTAAGCAATGCAACTATGCCCTAAATTACTCATGCTACAGGTCTTTAGGCCCTTGGCTTCATACCAAAGCAACTTGCTTTGGTGAGGAAACCATGTAAGAGTACAGAGAAATGGCTGAGCTGGAGTTCATTCCCATCCCACATCTAAGTCAAGCATCAGGAGCTGTTGATCAGTTTTAAGTGACCCAATGAGGATACTGATTAGAACTGAATTTAGAAGATATTAGAAAAACGTCCTGTCATGCTGGTATTTAAACTCAATCTGTCTGCTAAAGAAATCATGATTTCACGTTTACTAAGTGGGAATAATTTAAAGGCATCTTTCATAATGCCCCAGCCAGCATATTATGAGATTTGACGCATACACACAACTGATCTCTGATTCTCTGATCAGAAAATAACTTACACAACGTGGCATGGCTCTCTTTGCTTGGTGACAACCACTATGAGAAAAAGATCTATGGTACTACACATATGGTATGGTATGGTACTGTATGGTACTACAGCAGAATCTCTTTTCCTGCGTATGCTTGTTAGTTCTCAAAACCCTGGCAACTTTGAAAGGGACCAAAATACAAGACATTAACTGCTAAAATCCACTTTATCGAACTATAGAAAAGTCCTAAACACTTAAAGGCTGTTTGCTTTGATCAGTACCATATAACTGCCATTATGCTGTTTTTTCTAGGCCCTGCTACTCTTTATTAGTTATAAAACAGCTGGGAATAACTACTGTGTAAAATGTGTCACTGAAAACGATGTCAGGGAATGTGAGGAAAAAATCCTTGATTTAATTGCTTTGAATAGTCTGTGAGATTTTTTTTTGGAGGGATTTGATCTTCAATCCCTTTAACTTTCAATTTCTTGTAAAATGGGTGTCCTGATGGAAAATCATGACTGGGGTTCCTGCGGTTTATTTCCAAGGTGTTTTACACCTATGTAGCTAAGTTATGCCAAATCTTTGGGAAAAAATGTTTAGTTTGTTAAAAAAGGAAAAAATCTTGAATACCCCTGCAAACATTACACGGATTTTGAACCAAATACAAGCATAGATTTTTTGTTTAGAATATTTAAAAAGTATCACAATCCCTGATATGCTTAGAAAAATATCACTGTACCCAGTGAGTACTGTCTGAGGCAGACAACTCCGATTGAGCTACAAGATAAGGACTAACCCTGTCTAGCTGAGCCTAACCCTGTCTCATGGCTTTGATGGGCTAGGAGATAGCTACTGTTGTGGAAGGAATGAAAGGCATGTAGGTACAGTACAGATATCAGGAAATACCCCAGGAACAGAGCAATTCATTTAATATCCCTTTTCATGCCTGGAATCAGTGTTATGAGTGCTTCCCTTCATTTAAAATGATGTTTGTCTTCTAACCACAAATTCTGGTGGAAATAATATGGCAACGGAGAAAATAACAGAGAAATAACTTTCCATGAAGTGGAAAACTCCACCGGGAATGAATTCTTATCCGTTTCCTTATCACATTCCTTTCACCTCTCAGTCTTCAAGCTGGTGCTCGAAAAGTAACTAAGCTGTTGGGTTTCTAGAGGTCATATCCCTGTAGCAGTCCACATGTCTAGGAGACCTATTACGGTGAGTTAACGGATGGTAGATAAAATGAACAACAACATACAGTAAGATACAGGATAGGCTGCGAATCAGAAAAGAACCCATTGTACTATGTGTTTTGTACATTTCAATTTCTAATCGAGAATTATTTTCCATTATGCACCCGCACAATCTGCGATAGTTAGAAGAGGCTGCTATCCAGCACTAACTGTGCAGCTTGGGAGAGAGGGAGAAGAGTGGGATAAGGCCTCCTACCTGATCATCTGTCAGAGCTCGGTGCTGACTGGAGACCCCGCACAGCTCTTGCTGACGTCACCACACACCTGAAGCCACCTGGCTCGTCACAGGTGTTGCCTTTGACTGCAGAGCTATTCAGCTGGCTAATCCCAACCCTGCTTGCCGATGGCCAGTGACACGGCCAGGTGTGCTGTGGGTCATGAGTCTTCTTGGCTGATGTTTCGAGCCAGGCTAAGGGAGTTCTTCAGACGTGAAGTTGTGAGAGGCTGTTCAGTGGTCTTAGAACCTGTATATGGAGAATGTAAAAACTGCCGTTCTTGAATAACCGTGAAGCTGTTTTCTCATCAAGTGGTGTGCATTAATGAACATGTCCAATTTAGTTCTGAGAACTCTTCTGATGGAGATTGAATGACTGGATCACGATTAATTTGGAGTTTAAATATGTATGTTTGCGTGGATTGGGCCCCGTTTTCTGTTTTGCAGGTCTAAATGTGCACTCCTAGCATAGGTGCAACATTCACAGCCTTTATCCAGCTACGCAGTGACTTATATGATTTGTGTCCCTATCATTGCTCTTGCTCTGAGCTATGTCAGTTGTCATAAAGAAATAGGATTTATGTTTTTCTCTAACTATTTACATTCCATTCCAGCTACTATGTTATTACACTTTACATAGCATTTCTATGTTCCTCCCTAACTAGAAGGAAGGTTTAGCTGCGTCTTGGGAAAAGGCTGAAATCTTTTGTGCAAGGCGAAGCTTTCCGGACTCATAGTGGTCTTCATTAATCAAACGCAAACACAGAACAGTCCCACAGTGCCTCAGTGGCAGCGTCAGTCCCAATCAGTATGTAAAATTATCATCAGAGGTAGTTTGTGTTTTTGTCTCATTTAAAGAGACAAGCTGGCTGTCTGTAAAGTGGAGGAAAGAGGAACTGTTTATTGAAAGACTTGGGCTTATCAGTAGTATTTAGGATACTGCATTTATACATCCTCCCTACTGAGTGTCTGTTCCAATGTACATCTGACTGCCTTGTGATTGATGGTCTGTTTAATGACTAAATAATCGTGGTATAGAAACCATCAATGCAAGAAGAATGAAATATGCTGTTAACTCTTTGATTTACTCACCAAGTTGGGGAAAAAAACAGATAAGATGGAACAGCTGGAAGAGCTGCACGGTTCAGATTAGATGTTTTCTAAAAGACATGCAGTCAGCAATCTGGACAACGAAAAAAGGGTCCTTGTCCTCATCATACACACCCTGTCCTCAGTGTTACACCACTGCAGCTGTAGTGCACTCTACTCTACATTATCACCACACTACAGTGCTGAGTTTGTTTCCTGTCCTAGACAAGATTGCGCCAACAGCAATCCTTCATTTTCTGTTGGCTCACGTGACTTCAGATGCATATTCAGTCTTATTCAGTGGCCGAGGTCTTGTCAGACTACTCGCAGCAGAAATGCAGACTTCTTGAATTTTCTTATCATTAGCGTTTGAGCAATCCAATTTAAGCCTTTATTTCCTTTCATTAAGGCCTCTTTTAGATGCAAAAGGAATGCTTTAAATTAAGCCCATTAAAATCCATTCCTCTGTTCTACCCCATTATACTACTAAGGTAAAGTGCATGCCTATGAAGGAAATTAAAACAGATTGCATGTCATAATTAGCCATTGCTAGGGAATGAAGGTTTTGTTTTGTTTGGCTTGAGTTAGTTAATGATATTTTTAGAGAAGCTTCTTGCACTCAAATAAATGCTGAAAAGATTGGTTTTGTATCACCACTACTTACTAGTAGATTACTAGCAGGCCGCAGGCCTGGCCAGGACAGAACAATCTGTCTTTTGGGCGGATCCCACCTTCTTTAGAACATTGTTAGTCCGTCGAATTCATTCATCATTTCAAACTGAGCAACGTTATGCTGCTCACTTTGAGTCTAGTTATTACAAAATTTCACAATATTAGCCAAGGTGCCATTAATTAACCATTGGTGAACATAACTTGGAACATAACTAACATTTAAAAGATTCAGTATTTAACATTTGAACCAGGAATCCAGAACAAATACGTTTAAACCATCTTAAACTAGCTTGTCTTGGATATGGACCTCAGCTGTCATGTTCAGTCAGCTTCTTGAGCCATGAATGTACTCTCTAGGGTGGAGGACTAAACTATGTAATAGACAGTAGAAAGCTTTTATATTTGCATGTCGTAGCTCTCAAAACTAAAGATAATAATGACTGATTACTTATGTCACAAATTTGAGTTATCACCTCGTATAGAAGGATTTCATAACATTCCTCACTCATTACTGTAGGTAGGTGAGGTCCCCTTTTCACTCCATAAAGGCCCATGGGAAATGAGGGGCAAGGGCCACAATTTTTCCTTGACCATCCAACACTGGAGGTGGAGGTGATGTGGTCAGCATCATGGTCGGCCTATTACCCCCAGTAGGATTAACCCCTGGTACCCTTTCGGATGAGACGTAAAACCGAGGTCCTGACTCTCTGTGGTCATTAAAAATCCCAGGGCGTTTCCCGAAAAGAGTAGGGGCGTAACCCCAGCATCCTGGCCAAATTTCCCGTTGGCCCTTACCAATCATGGCCTCCTAATAATCCTCCTCTATGAATTGGCTACATAACTCCGTTCTCCTCCCCACTGAGAGCTGGTGTGTGTTGAGCGTTCTGGCGCACTATGGCTGCCGTTGCATCATCCAGGTGGGGCTGCACATTGGTGGTGGTGGAGGGGATCCCCATTACCTGTAAAGCACTTTGAGTGTAGTGTCCAGAAAAGCGCTATATAAGTGTAAGTGTTGTTGTTATTATTATTATTATTATTATTATTATAACTCATTTGGAAAGCAGGGAGGGTGGATCTGGGAGCCGTCTGGAAGGAATTAGAGCAAGCTCCATCGCCTGCCCCTACCTGGGATTGAACCCAAGACCTTCTGGTCAGGAGCTAGACACCCCTGCCGTCTGAGTTACCACAGCTCCGCTGTGTAGACTGTACCTACTTTATTTTACTTTCACATATCATATATTATTTTAGAAGATTTAAACACACTTGCAGCACACAAATCAATTAAAAAATAAATAAAACAGGTGTTAATTTTATTGCTCAGCTTAATGCGCATTTAACAGTGGTGCATTGATGAGCAGCACAGGTCTTTACAGTTTGCACAGATAATACCATACAATATGGTAATAATATAATCTAATAATAGATTAGATCTGTGGAGTGTTCATGCACAGAGACATTCTCCGAGAGCTGCTTTTTGACAGAAAATGTACTTTATCAAGATCTTGTGTGCAACATTTCATGGTACTATGAACATACAGTATAAGAAGATCTAGTGGGTTTCATGTCTGAGATCTGGTGTGATAAACACTATTTAACCCCTATACTACCTTGTATACTTTTCAAAAGTAAAATATACAATCACTGTATGATATAATGTACCATAAAAAAGTACAGCACATTTTGGGTTGAGCTCATTATTGACTTTTTCCTTGCTTTTTACATTTTGTGTTCCAGTCCTGGCCCTGATCATGACTAATCACTGACTTTTTACAACATTTTCCAGCCTCTCCTTAAGGAGCAGCTTGAAAGGAGGAGTGTGAAGACACCCTCACACAGTTGTGTGCAGGAGGACACTCATGGCAAGGTAAGACACAGAGAAAACAGCATGACCTCATCAAGGGACAGACTTCTTCTCCCATGCAATTTTCTATATATGTACAGTATGATTTCTCAAATTGGAGCAGCATGGTGGCGCAGTGGTTAACATTATCACCTTGCAACGCTGAGGCCCTGGGTTCAATTCCAGAGCTGGGGTGCTGTCTGTATGGAGTTTGTTCTGTTCTTCTCGTGTTCATGTTCCTCCAGGTGCTCCTGTTTCCTCCCTCATATCCACAGACATGCTGGTAGGTTACTTGGCTTCTGGGAAAATAGGACCTGGTATGAGTGTGTAAGACTGTGCCAGTGTCTGTGTGTGTGCCCGGCGATGGACTGGTGTCCCATCCAGGGTGTACCCCGCCTTGCGCCCAGTGCTTGCTGGGATAGGCTCCGGCTCCCACCTGACCCTCAATTGCTTCGAAAATGGATGGATGTCTCAGACTGTGTGTAGGAAATCCAGTGTGTTTTGTTTAAGACCATGTAACAGAACAGTTCTTTCCGGACCCTATGTGGACGACACAATCCGGGGAAAAGTTAGGAAACACTGGGGAAGAAGTCATGCAGGAGACGGGAATGAGGACAGGGGGGCGTGTCCATGGTGCGCTGGTGCACGGGGGAGGTGGGGCCGAGGCAAACAATCCAAGAAGAAGTCCAATGCGAAATCCAAAAACACAAGCATAAATCCATGGCCAAGGCGATCCATCCAGGAGATTAAAAATGGGAACCGCCGGGGGGAACAGGAACAGGAACTTAAAAACATGACGGAGCCAGACGCATCAGGACCCGGGCTCGCATGATATGGGAATCACATGCAGAGCCCCGAACTGAGTGGGTGTCTGGCTCTTAAGGGGGACGGGAAGGAGGCTGGAACAAGGGGCAGGTGCACAAAATTAGGTCTGAAGTGAAAGAGCCGGAGCGCCCTTAAGGAGGAGGGACTGCAATCGTGACAGACCAGAGTTGTTCCTGCATGAAGAATGTTATTTCACTGCTGGATTGCTTCCAGGTGAATGTGAAGTTGGACGTCTCTATCAGCTCAGTCGCTTGGCAGAGGAGTCAACAGGTGACCCAGGCTCTCACGTCCCTTGGAAAGTCGGGTCTGATGACCTCTGTTGTGGATCCAGCTGCGTTTATGGGAGCTAGTGAGCAGGAAGCTGTTGGGTGGGGGGCTAGAACCTGTTAAAAAGTGTGGTTGAAATTAAAAAGCAGAATGACTGCATGAGGATGTGGTGGTGGTCAGCTCAGGAGGTCAATAAGTTGCAAACCAACCCCTCTACCAAAACACCCACTGGGGCAGGTCTGCCTTGCTGTAGCATGCTCTGATCCACCTGACCTCCTGCTCTTCAGGTCTGTACGTTTCCTCCAGCACGGGAGAACATGTATTCTGAGCTTCCCATTCTTATCTGTCTTTTAATCAGCAGGGCTGTGCAGGGCTGATACGACAGTCATTTTCTCTCTAACCAATTTGACATCATCAGTGTTTCTCCAGAACAGCCAATTCTATTTCCTTCCTCCCGGAGGGTTTCTTGTACAGTGCTGGAAATAAACCAAGAGGAACCTCGTGGAGACCTAGTTTCTGCGCTGCTTGCCCAAGGCCTGCTGATCCCTCTCCTGGGAGGACAGGTTGGTTATTGCTTCAGCTGCCTGAAGCCCCAATAACTGACCTCCCCGTGTTGTTAGATGTTTGTATTAATTTCTGTCTTTATGCCCAGAGCAATCAGATTGCCCCCACACTCTCAGGCTCCCTGACTCCCTGTTGGGAGCTCTTCGACGAATCTGATGATAAATCAGGGTGGTGTGTGTGTGAGCATTTTAGGCCAGAGTCCAGAAGAAAATGGCAGATTTTTACAGCATATTAAAATAGCAGCCTTCTCCCTGGCCATCTGTTTGACAAGATGCATGAGGCACAAAGACAAGTTTATAGATGGGTGTGTTTAAGTCTGGTCCTTTTGCTGATAGGTGTTGCAAGTAATTATGTCCATGTACAGGTAACTAGTGTTAATATGGTGGGATTCTGTGACATGTGGTGACTTGACTACATGGAGCACATTGAGAGCAGGTTATACTTTTTTTTCCATATTTTATCAATATCCAGCTTATCTAAATCGTCCTTACCCAAACCTTATCACAGCTATATTAGAGCATTGTAGCAGAGGTGTTTGAGACAGGCTAATCAGGAAGCGTGTTTAGTGAAAGGGCAGCTTAGCTCAGCCAGTGAGACTACCAGCAAGTCTTTGGATGATGGGAGACCAGAGCACACGGAGAAATTCCACCAAAAATTGGGGGGGGACATGCAAACTCCACACAGAAGGCAGCTTTCGTCAGGATCAAACCCAGGACTTTAAAGCTGTGAGGTAACCGTGCTAATCAGCACAACGAAATCCCACCTACAGGGCTTACATAAATGAAATTATTATTATTTTTCTTACTGTTCACGTATAGGACAGGTTCTTACGTTTAGTCCTGTGGAAAGTTTTAGAAGAGATCCTATTCCAAAATGACATGAATAATGCACAGAAAATCAACTATTTCTGCAGCCACAAATAGTGTACCAAATACTCAATGAGTCTACTAAATCACTGTAGCACAATTACTATTTTAGGATAGTGCATAAGATGTGAGCAATGTAGTACATAACCATTCCAGCATGCCACACATTTCTATACAACATCAAAAAGCTTGCATTCTCTGAAGGGTGTATGTTAATTTTCAGCTCCAATCAGTCCATCTGGTTACTCACAAAGCACAGTAATTGTAGAATCTCTGAGCATTTGTAAGGACCAAAAAAATGATATAGCTAAATATTTACAATGACTCTAATTGCTTAATTAAATCGGTTTGCAGCCTTTTTCCACCTTTAACAAGAGGTGCTTGCTCCGGGAATGTACAGTACAGTGCTCACAAAGCTGAGTGCAGGGAAACTATGTGCAATTCAGTCATTCCTCCTCTTTACTTTCTCCCAATGGGCTTTTTGCAAGTTTGTGTTTTTTGGAGCAGCTGCCAAGAATGTTTATTTATAATCTAAATAATTAAAGTGCTGCAGGAACAGAACACATTAATAATGAGAAAAAGAATACAACAATTGTATTTATAAATGATTTTCAAAACAATCAAAGTGCTATACTAAAGCATACCTGCCATTCATATCAGAGAAGCAGGAAGAGAAAGACCACAGTAAATTGACCACATAAAAACCAGTTCAAAACTAAAAAATACATTAAAAGGCCCAATGAAATGATAGCTTTGTAAGTGAGTTTTAAACATGATGACAGAGTTTCAGTACAGCTCAGGGGCCCAGCTCCTTACTGTGTGGAGCCTGGTCTTCAGCAGAGTGAG